CAAGGTGACGCCGACGTGTCAGCCGAGGTGCCACGTGTCTTGGTCATTGTGCCGAGGTCATCTCGGCTAGGCCGAGGTTTCCTCCGAAGATATCGGAATCCGAGATAAGCGGATAAGGGACAAGAGTCCTAGAATGAAGAGGGAACTCAACTTGGATATGGACAAGAGTCCTAGATTGGGAGAAGACTTCAGTTTGGGTAAAGATAAGACTCTTAGAGAGTTTATCCTAATCCCACTGGGAGTCCCAGATTAGCAGTAATCCTAAGCCCATTAGGGCCAGGCTCCTATTGGGACTAGGATTGTATTGGCTATAAAAGAGAGGCACCCCCATGGGTCTGAGGTATGTTTTTTGATACTCAAGCTTGTGAGTTTAGTATTTGATTTATCTTTGAGAGATATACTGACTTGATCGTCGGAGTGCCCCCGGGTGGTCGAAACCACCGCGGGATTCTTATATTTCTGTTACAGGTCAGTCAGGGGCCATCTATTCTGCCAGTGCTCTCCAGCTGGTTACTAAGCGGGCAGTGTGGTCGGAAAATCACCCACACAGTGGATATAATTCTAGAACATTTAAACCGAATAAACATAAATATATTATTTTTGAAAAAGAATTACTTGCAATAAAATTGGCAATAAAAAGTTTTCATATTTATTTAGCCCTAGAAAATTTTAGTGTACGTACTAATAATAAAGCAGTAAGAGATTTCTTGATCAATAAAAAACCTATTGAGCAAGGAAGAAGATTAGCTTGGTATAATAAAATTTCTGAATATACTTTTGAGGTAGAATATCTTAAAGGTACTAACAATTTTCTTGCAGATTTTCTTAGTCAAAATTGTTTCAAAAAATTAAATTACTAAACAAGTAATTTTAATTTTTGTAAAAGACCTCTAGATCAGGAGGAAAAAAATAGACAAGGGTAAATAACCCGCTCAAGGAGATTGGGTGACAATTGCTAAAAAAGCTTCCCAGACAAGAAAAAATTTATGTTGTGTTTGCAGGAAGACAACCTAGAATTTATACAGAATAAAATGATTGCAAAACGCAAGTTTGGGGATTTTCAGGAGCAAGCTATAAATCATATGATAGCTTGACCAAAGCTGAAAAAGCTTTTTACAGTGCACTAGCTATACCTGTTTATCAAAAGAATTTTTGTCAAATGAGAACTAAACCAGTTCCAACTAATATTCAGGCATCTAAACCAGATGAATTTGAAATAAAAGACTTTTTCAACCCTGGTATATTCAGAGAAATTTATACCGAACTTAATGGAGTTTGAAAAACTCACATTGTAGACAACAATGTGAAATTTCAAAAATACATGGGAGTTCTGGCAAACAAATTAGCTGAGCAAAAAACTATTAAAATATTTGCAAAATCTTTGTTTCAATATCCTTAAACAAATAAATTGGAATGAAGATTTTAATTTTGAAAAAATAAACAATTTTCTTCAGCTATCAGACATCATATTAGACGAGTTTTCTGATCCAGTTTTTGAACAAATAAAAAGAATTAGTCTTTTTGAAAAAGCAAGAACTTTGCTCCCAAAAGAAATTTTTCTATTAATTAAAAATCAAGTTGAGGATCATCATGATAAGATTAGACAAATCTTACAATGATCTTATGATAAATTAAATTTTAAAGATGGAATTTTGAAAATAACCATCATGGCAAATCATGACATGTGGTATTTTGAATATATAGATTGGGGACTAACTAATCAAGTTATTTTTCAAATTTTAGATCCAATCCAATGGATAAAATATCCAATGATTATCAAAGCAATGCTCTCATGGGTAGTAAAAGGCTTCCAATGGAGTAAATATTTTACTTTCTGGACCTCCAGCACTGTTGGTTGGCGAGAACGAGAACATTTTTTCCAACCATACCAGATTTGGTATCTTAAAGAAACTGAAGATTTTGAATTTGAAGATGATTATTTAGATGAAGATCGTCGGAGACAGCAATTGGAAAATATTCAAAAACTTTCTTTGACAGAATATTGGATAGACAGTCTAATATCTGTTTCACAGGCAGCGTCCAATATCCATGACTCAGCAAAATTGCCATTCATGTTCACAGATGGTAAAATACTATTTGTAACCCATTTTTCCATAGTATATCAAAGGTCTCATACACAAATTAATGAGGCTCTTGACATATTATTAAATCTCAAAAAGAGAAATAATTTGGATCTTCCATTGGAACTAGCCATGACCACAGATGATGTAGAACATTTTTGGAATGAGCAATACAGCCAGGATCCTGATTCCCTTCCATCAGAGACTGATGAAGAGTATCACAATCTCATAAACTTGATGCAAGTATAGTGAACCCCACTATCACATGTAGTTGTCATTTGATTGACTTTAACATTATCAAGGACACGTGGAGCAACCTGCATTATTAGGCGAAAAATGATTAGACAAATCCTTTCAGCCGATGCTACAACACCGCAAAGATCAGCCAAATCTTATCTATTTCAATCTATCCCTTTGAAAATCAGGGAAGGTAGACAGTGTATATAATTGTAGTTTGTCAGAATATGACCAATAATGGTAGATTTTTATTTATTGTTCTCAAGACTTTTTTGATCTTGTATTTATTTTTTTGTAGAGTTTTTGCCCAAGCCTATGTCTAGGCTTATAGCCTTTGGTAGAAAGGTGCAAAATTTTGACTGTATTGGTGTGCTAATTTTCTACAATGTAATAATGTTAGGATAGCTAGGATGACTTTATGGTTTTGTTTGTATATGTAAGATGTATTCTATAAATTGGCTTTCAAGCCAACAAAATAAATAATGAAAATTCTCTCCATCATCTTCATTGCTAACTTCTCCTCGTTCTCTTTTTGTTTCTTAACTTGATAAAAATAGTAGAATAGAAATAGTATAAAACTCCTTTCCTTGGATTTGACTTGGATTTGATGACCAGTTTTTGATGATCACCTTTCACTAGCACCGTCATTCAGTACTAAGCTCACAAATATTGAAAAAATTGCTAATTGGTTCAATCCCGATCAAATTGTATTGTTTTGTTTTCGTTCCTAATTTTTAAAATTGGTAAATTGTATTTCATAGTGTGGTCTATAGTTTTAAATTTATGTTTCCATTTGGAATTGAATGACTGTTTTGATTTATATATATATATATAATTTGTTTTTTAGTGTATATTGAAGTATCTAATTAATATCTTATATATATTCATAAATTGTTAACCTTTTGTTTGCGTGTTATTATATAATATTAATAGTAGAATTAGTTCTAAAAACTCATTTAAATAATTCTGTTTATGAAATGATAATATATTTTGAGCAAGTTGTAATTATATTGTGAATAATGATAAAATTCATGGAAATCATGGCTTCAAATTGAATTGAATTACGTTTTTTTAGTTTGATTTTATTTGGTTTCAAGATATTTATAGTTTGGTTTAGTTCAAATTTTATAAAAGTAGTGGAACTAAACCAAATCATAAGATAACTTTTTTGGTTTTATAAAATAAGGGACAAATTAATCTTTTAACTAATAATTCATGGAATTGGAATAATTATCTCAATCATTCCATGAGAATTCTAATTCTACCATGAGAAGGGATGGATAATCCTATAAAATTAGCAATCTTTTGTCATTTCTCTACAAATAAAAACATGGTTTAAGTAGGGTCATAAATTGCTAATCTAATCCCCTCCCCCAAACACCCAATCAAACAAGAGCCGTATAGATGCTATAAGGGCCAAACCCATGTACCGTGACAAGCAGAAAATATTTTATGAAAAATATATATATTTTTATTTTTTAATGTTTAGTATGAAAAATTATTTTTTACATATTGGGTGTTCTAAGTTTTTAGACTGAAGTGATAAATATATGATTTTTGTTTGGGTTGGGTACCATGTATAGATCTGGGAAAGATTAAAGATAGGCAATTGGACTTTATATTTTTTACTTTCTCACAATAACAAGAAAAAGAACAGAATCCTTTCTAATTGCTATTATACTACATTCTTTTGATGGTTTCTGCACATTATGTTGGAGATGGTGGTAGAGTATATTGGCTTCGGTTATTTTCTTTCATTATCAAAAGCCTTGGTATGGTGCCACTTAAAGCTTCTATCGATATTAGAGCATAAAGCTTAAATAGACAGAAGAAATATATTCACTATGCACTTGATGCTTCATTCCTCTTTGTACTTCTTGTCAATTATTGCTTCAGAACAGAATTTTCCCTGTTCCAAGTAGCCAAAAAGTGAAATATATGCAAACTAAACATACCACACATTTTCCACCACAATTACGGCGCCATCATTCCTCCTCAATCTCTCCCTGACTATCTCTGCCTCACTCCTACCACCACTACCCACAGTGATTATGATTATGATAATGATCACAATGAGAATGAGAATGAGAATGAGAATACCCCCTTTGTCCCACTACCCTTGTTGACGGAGGCGCAGCCTTCTTGTGTTGTGTCCTACCAAATCCTATCCCCACCACCATCACCACAACCTCCACCTGTACAATCACAGCCTGAGGAGCAGGAGGGTCTCTGCATTTCACAATTGCCAAGACTAGCGGGATTGTTCCACCAGGTAAATTTGTCTATCTCTTTTTTCAGTGACTTCAGGGCTCTTCCCAATTTACACTCCCTTTGAATGGGAAAGGAAACCCTTTTCTCATGATTTTATAAATTGGGTGAGAAATAGTGAGAAAGTCCATTTTATTTCTCACCACTTTTGGTTAGATTTGCTAAGCAATAAATTGATTGGTTTGTAAACCCTTAAAAAAAAAAAAAAAAAAAAAAGTACTCATGTTCCTCTTTTACATGGTTTAATTTTTTAATCATCCAAACTATATGATAGTGATACAATAATTTCTTTTCTTTTCTCATCTTACGATCCAATGGAGAAACTTTTAGGCTCCTCATTCTTATCCAAATCAATAACCCCCCTCCCCAAAAAAAAAAAAAAAAAAAAATTATTGAGAGAGGGAATTGAACTCTTTTGATTGTACACTTTGAATATGGATTTATCAACAACTTGAAAGTGCCCTTGTAATGTGCAACAAGGCATGCAGGGTAGATCCCTATCGTATCTCTTGAGTTGGTCTTTGGGTGTAATACACGGGGTATGCAGTATCACTCGTGGAGCCGACTTCTCGGGAGAATGACAAGCGCCTAATCTGTGACAACATGTCACATATCGACTCATTGGGGGTGCGAGTTCTACACCAAGCACCTTATAAGCGCATTAGTTTGTGAGCAGCAAGGCAGGTATGGTAGATCCCTATCGCATCTCCTGGGTTGGTCCTTGGACATAATACAAGGAGTATGCAGTACCACTCGTGGAGCCGGCTTCTTGGGAGGATGACAAGCGCTTAGTCCATGACAACATGCTTCGACCTTCTACACTACTAGGCAGTGCAGTGTAGTGACAAAGGAGAAGATTAAGCAAGCATTCGAAATGATTTCAAGATAGTTCAAGGATCCTAATTTCGAGATGTAATATGATCTTATGATTGTGGGTATTTTGGAACAGGAGAATAGAGGAACTTTGGAATCTGATGTTTTCAAGATATCTCTCATAGCTCAACAATAATAGCTATCTTGGATGGGATTAAATTTAGTGCTGATCTTTTAGTTATAATGCTTATCTACTACTTAATATCTCTAACTTGACAAAAAATTTGCTTAAACAAACTTATAACACCATGAGTGGACTATATATGTGTGAAGGAGTGAAAGTGAGAGAGGTGCACACACAATCACAAGGCACTGAAAGAAAAGCCAACCACCCGTTTGACCAGTGGGCCCATCACAACCTCCCTTGGATGCAATGGAAATGAGAATCTTTGGTAAGAGGCATAAATGGGGAAAGCATAGTCCAAAGCTACTATGCCCAATCAATAATCTCCAATTGTTCTCAATAAGCTCCTTCTACTCTCTCTCTCTCTCTCTCTCTCTCTCTCTCTCTTATTACTATGTTAGTTTTTCCTTAAATAATTCTAGAGTCCCCTCTATTTTTCCATATGACAAATATGTCCTTGTAAAAGGAAATTAATCTAATAGAACTTTTTTTTTTTAGCTTAGGTTTTATCTAAGTTATGCGTCACACGCTTAGATTGTGTTGGACTCTTGAAGGTGACAAAAATAGAAGCTAAATTTCTCACTTTTTTTCCTCTACAAATCCTTATTTAAATTCTAAATTTCAAACACAACCTTGAGATTTAGATCATATGAACTTAATTTCTATAAATAAAAAAACAAACAAACTTATCTTTGATTGGATAGGATTTGTATGTACTTCATTCAGAAAAGTTACTAACACAAAAAAAAAAAATGCAGAGAAAATGAAATATATGGCTTAGATTCAAATTTGATATGACGTGGATCCTACCCAAGTTGAAATTGCGCCCACCCATTTCATTTTCTCTGCATTTTTTTTTTTTGTTGTATTTGATTTGTCATTTTGAGAGGACATTGGTGGCATTGTAGTTGAACCAAAGGGTAAATGGTTGCAAAAGTTGATATTTTCTAGTACAAAGAAGGCTTTCTGTCTTCATGGATGTTGCTTAGCATTGCAGCATTAGTTTATTAGTGGAGGGAGGTTGGGACACTAGTGTATGCAAATATATACATATTTATATATGAATATATATATATATATATATTTATATGTATATAAGGGAAGGTTGTGAAGGAGATACGTGAAGATGGAAGGGCTGGATGAGCTTCAACTTCAGGAAGTCACTTCGCTAGCCAATAAAGAGCATATTTGTTAAGGTCATTTCATGCCTCACATACAAGACCCAAGGTAAGATTTTTAATATAAAAAATAAAAAATAAAAAAAAATCTTCTTTCTCTTCTTTCTCACATCCCGAATTTTTTTTGTTTATAGCTAATTTAGCTTAAAATTTGAAATCACACATTTAAGCAATTTTACTTTGAAAATTTAGTTTAATGTTAGTCTAATACTCTCCCTCCAACATATATGGTGTGCTAATGGCAGGGAATGGGCATGGATTGGTTAGTCTTTACAAGGACATGGAAGCTTGTAAAGGATATGCAGACATACAAGTGATGTGGGAGATGATTCACTCTTCGCGCCCGCCTAGTGGTTGTAAAAACAGAAATAGCAAGAGGGCTTCTCAATGAAGATTATTATTATGTTTCAAGCCAACATAAATTTTGTCTACCCTTTTGAAAAACAACAGGTTTTGGATAGATTTGATACCCATATTGTTTTTTTGTGTCGCTCTTTTTGGATTCAATTTGCGGCAGTATACAGAATTCTCTGATACATCTTTTTGAAGATTATAGATTTCTTTGATACATCTTTTTGAAGATTGTAGATTTCTTTGATACATCTTTTTGATCCAACGCACTCATATGGTTCGGTATACTTCAACTTGATCTAAATTTGTGTGGTTCATGTAAGCTAATAGTTAATTTGGGTATTTAATATTCCTCTTTGGTGACAATTTTCGGAATGACTTGCAAAATTGCTTCATCAATATAGTGTTCCTCCCGGTTTTTTTTTTTTTTTTCAGAAAATTAAATCCATTTTTCAAAAAATTAAGTTTTTTTGGTTTTAGTGAATTTTTTTAATATTTTACACACATTTTTCTATTTTTTAGATATATCTAATCTAAATAAGCTTAAAAAGTATATTATATTTGCAAAATGTTTTTTTAAAAAATTTACTAAATAAAAAAAAATATAAAAATTTAATATATTTTTGCATTTTATTGTATTTTTAAAATTTTTGTACAATTTTTTATTTATTTTTTTAAGTATATTAAGATTAAATGAACATAAAATTTTAAAAAAATAATTAAAATGTTTAAAAAATATTAAAAACGAATTTAAAACTCAAAAAATTATTTTTGAAAATTCAAAATCAAAAGTATCTTCGACCCAAGTATTTTGTGAATCCTTGATATAGTAGAGTGGATGTGAGTTTCAAAATATAACATCAATGATGTAGTAGGACAAAAAAAATTAAAAAAATAATCGAAGTTATTCCCATGAGGCTTCAAGAAAAAGGAATGATTAGAAGCTACTTATACTCCATGAAAATAAGGTCCTAACTGATAGTCTGATATTACATTATATTTATTTTCCACCAATAACTAAGTTTACTCCTTCTGAGTTTGAGCTGAGCTGATTGTGTGTTCATCTAAGCACTAATACGCAAACTTACTTACTACCAACACCTTAAGCGATAATGATACGATTTTTAGACAAAAAATGAAAATCATAGTAGAAATCTTCAAAATGCTGCATCACCCTCATGTAAGAGCATCTGATCGAAGTGCCACACCCCTGCATGTGCCCAAAAAACAAAAAAACAAACACATAAGATCGTGGGGAAAGAAGGCAATGGCAACAACAGATCCAAATTTTGATAAAGATTGAAAAAAATAAAAAAAGAAAAAAAAGAAAGAGAAGCTGATAATGAATGGTGACAATGAAACTTGTTTTATACCGTGTCCTTTCCCAACCATCCGCAACTGAGTGACATAGTCCGCGATTTTCTTTATAGCTTCAACCTAGCAAAGGAAATAAGAAGGGGTTGGGAGGAATCAAATGATATTAGAAAACTTACACAAGAAAACAGTTTTTGGAGATTATATGTTCGAAATTTTTTAAGAAAACATTAGGAGAAAAATTTCAAACAAGAAAACATAAAACAGAAACAATACTAATATTGAAGTATATATGATAGTCAAATTGTTGCTTTAAATGAGTGATTTCTTTTAGCCCTAGTCACTTGTCAAAGATCACATCTCTACCCATGATTTTTAACTAGGAAAGATAATGAGCAATGTGTATATAAATTAAATGGCATCTTTCATTGAATTCTATGCATGAAAATATGTCAGAACATGTCTTCTAATGAACCATTGAAAAATGGGCATTCGTTTAGGTACAAAGAAGTACAGAAATAGGCATTTATCTAAAACAAAAGTAAAAGATGAAGTTCTTACTAACCTGCTCTGTTAAAAATTCACTTTCAATAAACTCGCACATTTGAGGATCATTGTTTCGATCGGCCACCTGTTGTCAAGAACAGAGCATTTAATGTGATTAGTCTTAGTGACGAGCCACAAATCGACGTTTTAAGCTCATACACCATGAGTTATATTTGAGCAAATGTTTTGTCACACTAAATACCTCAATTTTTTTTTTCTTTTCAAGAGAGTGAATTCAAAATAAGAAAACTAGATATAAGGAGTGAAGGATATCTTACAGCATGCAAGCTCAGCAGTTTCTCATTTGTTAACTTCTCCAAGGACAACGCCAGTTCCATTGCTGAAATCATCAAATCACAGACGACAAGAGGTACTTACATGGGATATTATAGTAATCACTGTTTAGAACCGAAGAACAGCATGACCCTTGAAGCAATTTGGACATGAGCATTTTAAGGCTTAAATGACACACACAAACACACGAATGCACAAGCATTTTGTGAATCTGTAACAGACATTACCGTACAACGCGTAAAAGAAATGGCTACTTACCAAACAATGCATCACCCTTCTCAACATGATCAAATTCAGAAAGGGGCAACAATATAGAATGTAGTTTCACTCTTCCTCCGCGTATGTTCTAATTTTAATCAAAAGAAGTAATAGTGTTATACAAGTAATTAGAAGTTTTTTTAGATGATTTGATCATAAAGGAAAAATGAGAAGGAAACACATGATATTAGACAAACACCTGGTACTTCATGAACTTTTCAGCGTGTTCCCTTTCTTCTTCACTTGACTCCTTGAAAAATCTGAATGTAACAAGATCATATATTAAGTAATAAGTTGTACAAATAATGAAAATACAATGCTTAAAAAAGAAAAAAGAAGAAAAAAAAATGAGGATTTTGTAGATTTGTTACTTGGCAAGGCCCTTAAGAGCAACATTGTCCCTGTCGAAGTAGGCAAACATGGCGTGATATACATAGGACACATTATATTCCACACTGTGATGACAAAGATAGAGTTATTAGAAACCCAAAAACAAAATAAGAAGATAATAAATAAATTTTCTAAGCAGAGAAATTTTGGAATACAGACTGAGCCTGCCTTTTTCATGTATACAAAAAGGAAAATTCTAGTATACACACCCCTTTGAAAAGGATGCACCTCTAATTATGTCATTTTTTTCTCTAGTTATGACTAATTTTTTTTGTAGTTATGACTCATGAGATCTTTAGTTATGCCTCATGTTGTGTTTAGTTATGATATTTTTTTTTAGTTATCACTCAGAAAGTATGAAATTATATTATTTTCTTCTTTAGTTATAAGATGCATATTTAAAGGTGTGTATCATAATGTTTTCCATACAAAATTTTGAAAACAAATGCAGGTAAGTAAAGAGTATAAGACAATCTCCACACAAATTATATAAGAAAAGTAACAATAGATTGAATTCACCTAAGAAGTATGAACGCGAATATAGACACAGACAAGGGTATCGACAAACATATATATATATATATATATTTATATATTTTTGTTTATTATGTATGGTACATAGATATGAGATTAATATATGTGTGTATTTTTATTTTATTTTTTTACTCTTTCTTTCTTTTTTTTCTTTTTATATATAGTTTGACCTCAAATTATCTTTCTAAAATTATATAAAGGTATTGAGACATGGCTAAACACTGGAGATGCATGTACATGAGGTGTCCTAACGTATTCTACAAAAAAAAAATAATAATAATAAAAATATATAAATTTGACATGCCACATGGCATGTCTGGACCCGCGTTTCTTTGACGTGTTAGACACAACACTTATCTTAGAGTGTTAGTTCTTCTTAGCAAATTGATAAAGATTAAGGGGTGTGCTTGGTAGTTAACTTTTTCAGTAATTTTTTTTTTTAAATGTGTAAAAAAATAAAGAGAGTGAGCTAACTTTTTGTAGTTACTTTAGTCACTTCCCAAACACTCTCTTATTTAGGCCTCGTTTGGGAATAAGTTATTTTAATAATTTTTTGACTTTCTTACTAAAATATGAGATAAAAAAAAGCTAGTATGTTTAAAATGATTTTTTGATTTTTTACAAAAAGATATGCAAAAATCTTGGCCTAACAACCTTGAGATTATGGGTTCAAGTCTCAGGGCAACCACTTTGTGTACTATGCCAAAAGTTAGGTATGTACCCAATATTTTTCCTCCCAAACACACATTAATATGTACTATTTAACCATTGTTTTTTTTTACAAAAAAATATGCAAAAAATAGAGAGAAAAAGAAAAATTATATAGTGCTCCTAGGGCACCATGTGACAATACTTCTCACCAATCACAGTACACCATGCTCCTCTTGTTTCTCAATCACCCAATACAAAATCGGGGATCTCACTTACTTCACCAATCACAATACCCTTGAGGCACCACATGCTGGTGCCGTAAGACCGACCAATAACTTCTTAGAGAAAAGAAAATCTTTAATTTTTTTTTGTGTAATTTGTTAGTTTTTTTTTTAATAACTTTTTTGATTTTTAGACTAAAATTAAGAATTGCGAAAGGAAACCTTATTGTTTGATTGAATAAAATAAAATAGAATGATTATGTAGAATGACTATTCTTTATGATTTCGTTTAATATATTTTGCACTTGTTTATTTTTTAGTAAATCGATATTTCCATGAAATAATTATTTGATTTTATTCCAATAAAATAGCAAGATCTGAGTAAAATAGAGAACTACAGAGAATACAATTAAAAACGGGGTAAATTACACTTTGCACTCTTACATTTTGTACTAAATTTTACTTTAGCCCTTACACGTGAAATCATGACAGTCAACCTCTTGCACTTCTGATCAAATCCTACTTTGGTCCCTACACATGAAATTGTGACAGTCAACCCCCTATACTTTTGATCAAATCTTACTTTGATCCCAATGCAAATGTCAATGTCCCATTTCTGTTACTCAATTGTTTAAATTTTTAACAAAATCTAGGCATGTGACAAGAATATGACTACGATATGAGAGTAAGAGAGGAAAATCATCTACATTTTTCGCTAATACACACTTTATTCCAAAATTTACATCAAATTATGATTGTATTAGGCTAAAACAAAACACAAATTGTGAACGATTAAAAAGAAGAACTACGGTTTTGAATAAATTGAAATCACGGAACTCTGTTATTCATGGTAACACAATCTTTTGTCTATTTATCTTCCTTTCTATTTGATTTCTTTGTCGCATTTTTTATTTATTTCTAAAGCTCTATTTTCTTACCTTTTCATCGCAATTTTTACCATACGAACATATATATATATATATACACATACACTGTATTATATAACTCTCACGTGCTTATCACGTAGGACAAAGTGTATTGGTGGAAAACATGAATAATTTTCTTCTCTTGTCCTCATTTCGTATTTCCATTTTTGTTACATGACTGGATATTGTTAAAAATTTAAAAATGAAGTAACAGAAAAAGGATATTGACACTTGTGTGGGGACCAAAGTGAGATTTGAGCAAAAGTGCAGGAGGTTGACTATCACAATTTTATGTGTAGGGACCAAAATGAGATTTGACCAGAAGTTCAGATGGTTGATTGTCACGATTTTATGTATAGGGACCAAAGTGAGATTTGGTACAAAGTGTAATTTACCCTAAAATCGGAGATCGAAAATAGAGCTCACTTGATCTGTTCATTGATCGCAACTTCAGAATCCTCCACAAACCTTTGGCGAGCAAGCGAAATATGGGGAGCGATTGGGACCATCAGATCTTGCTTCTTTACCTCCTCAAATGGTTGAAACACCACCCCTCTCAGCGACAAATCACCGCTTATCGCGGCCGAAACCACCACCATTCCGCACTGTCTTTTCGAAACCATAACACTCATAGCAGAAAAAGAAGAAGAAGAAGATGATGATGATGATGATGATGAAGAATTCAAGCCCAAGCCCAAGGCTGGCCCAAGACAAGCCCCTTGCATTCTAGAGAGAGAAAACATTGTTTTAGAGAGAGAGAGAGAGATTGGAAGAAGAGTGAGAAATTTGAGTGAAAATGGTGAATGTGAAGAGAGAAATTTGAGTGAAATATATAAATAGAGTGGGGGAGAGAATTCGAGTGGCACACGATTCGTTTGAAGTCCTTGATATGGTGTCACTTAAAGCTTCTATAGATATTAGAACATTGAGCTCAAATAGACAGAAGGATATATTCACTACGCACTTGATGCTTAGAGTAATGATTCATAACTTGAAATTTGGAACTCTAACAATGACATTAATGATGTGGCATGAAGGGAAAAAAAAAAAAAACACACACACATACATCAAATTATTCAAGAGTAGAGTCCACTACTATATAAGTAAAGCTCGCATTAAAACTCTACTTTTGTTCCTAAACATTTTTGTGATGCTTAACTCCTTTTTGTACTTCTTGTCAATTATTGCTTCTGAACAGAATTTTGTGAGTTATAAATAGTCAAAAGTGAAATATATGCAAACTAAATATACCACACATATGCTATGGAACATTCGGATGGACTATACATCTAGAGGTTTACATACTTTTATATCATAACTCATAACATATACATCATAACTATTATCGTGTTATATTAATTCATAACTTAATTATATTCAATTATACAAATACACCATATTCTTTCCTAACCGTATCATAAATAACTATTTAAATAAGATAATTTTTAATTGACAACCGGTTTATCCAGTTACCAGAGAAAGAAGAGGGGGGTCAGTCAGCCCCGTCGGCGATCCACTGTTCTCCACCATGGGTTTGTGAGCAAAGACCTCCTAGCCGGTGTCTTTTATCTTCCCGTCGAATGGAGTCTTTTATCTTCCCGTCGAATCGAATCGAATATTTCCGAGAGCTCTTTTCCGTAGCTCAGGTTTGTTCCTAACTCTAAGCTTCATTTGCAACAGTTGTGCGATTGGGGCTTTGATTTCAAAACCCTAACCCTTATTGAATATTTGATATTAAGTTTGGTTCTCAGTCAAAATTAACATCATAGGGGCTTTGATTTCAAAACCCTAACACTAAGTCAAAATTAACATCAGTTCTCAATCATATTCACATTTCTTTAATTGCATTCTCTCCTTGCTTTCTTTTTTGTTTTTTAGCTAGGTCATTACAGAGATTGTTGGAATTGAATTGAGGACAGTTTTTTGCTTTTAATTGATCGGTGTCTTGAGTAATCAATCTTTCTTTGTTGTTTTCTTGATGTTTCTTTGTCAGGAAATTCAAACAATTCATGCATTTTCTGTGTTGACTATTGTAGGTATGTTTATGATTTTTTGCTTGTCTTTGTTAAAAATCTTGATATTGATATTGAGTATTTGCGTAGTCAAGTTTTCAACTTCTCTGAAAATTTATTTGCCTTTTTGTACTTTGTGATAACTGCTTGATCATGCTAGATATGTAAATGTACACAATTATTAAATGGCTAATTTTGACTGCAATCTTTGCCGTTAGTTTTATTCAGATTTTTTTTAGTTAGAGAAAAAAGACAAACTTTAAATTATTTCCTAAATTGTATACATAATTCAACTCTCAATAGTGCTATATGTCTTTCTTTGAAGATACTTCAAATATATGTGCAAGATTACTGATGCATTGTAGTTAGATGGAGAAGTCATTCCAGTTTGTTCTTCATTACTAATTTGGATGCTTCTGGCTACATGTTAAATTTTTTTTAACCATTCAAAATTTTCATGAAAGTAAAATATGGTGCAATAATATTATTTCAAGTTTAGAAAAGTTGGGGTTTTGGTGGTAATGTGTGGGCAGTTTAATTAGTTACTATGAAACAACAATTATGAATGCTCTAATCAAAAATATATTATCATTCAGCAAAAGGAATATAAAAACAAAAACCTTCCTGCTAATTGTATTAGGCTTTCTAAATATTAGAGAAAGATCCCTATATTTTGTTTTTCGATAATGCGAAGAAAACATTTATCAATTTGTAAATTAATTTCATTTTTTGTTTTAGTTACCTGTGCCAATGATTACATATAATGAATCCTATTTCCTTTTTCAGTTACAAATTTAAAATCGAAACACAGTTAGGTAAACTTCTAAATAGAGATTTGTACAATATGACTTTAAAATTCACCCCTAATGATGTCATAGGGGTTGCATCTTACGTAGTTGATTTTTAAACCAAACAACTATCATGAAGTAGTCCATATTCATGTTTTAAGGGTGTTCAAAAATCTTTTTGAATAAATTTGGTATCATTTGAAAAAAAGTTTAGTCAATTTTTTAAAATTTTATATGATGTTGATTGTTGTGTTGAATAATGAATAGATTGTACGTCCACATATTAAATCGATAAAACTTAATTTAAGTATTTAATAATTATTTTAGTTATAATAATAGGAATTAAAGTAAAACAATCATTTTCTTTTCGTAACCATTGAATTTTACAAGTCCCGTGCATCGCGCGCGCGAATCAATGCTAGTGAACAGTTTTTAGTTGACTTAAAAAGAGGAATTCTCATAGTCATTGGAGTTTGAAAAGATAACTAGTTGTTTTGTGTGTTACATGGCCATTTGATTTTTTATTTTGCCCTTTAAAATCAACGAAGTTGGAACTTAATTAAATAGGGTAAAATACCTTTGTTGTAGGATTACTTTCTTATTGGAGATAGTTAAAAGAACATAATTCAGAGTAACCAATTTGTCTCATGCTTTTATATAGTAGTATAGATGTTCGAGATTAAGTTATTTTGTTTTGGGATTTTGCTAAATTGGATTTTACATTGAAAAACTTTAGTTGGGTTTGCACGGTCCAATGTAAATGTTGTGATATTTTGATTTTCAATGTCCAATTATTTTCTATTTGTTTACATTTTTGGTTTGAGTTCTGAAGTATAAGTAGTTTCATTCATATACAATTTGTAATGTCCTTAGTTGGCATTTGTTAGGAAGTTGTATTGGTTGCATTATCGTTGATTATCGTGATACGAGGACATGATAATGTTCATATAGGTGTCAATCATAGTAAAATTGAAAAATGCTTCCCTCCAAAAATATGTTTGGATTTGTTCCTTGTGGCCTTGCTCATTGTTAGTGGCAGAGCCAATATAGGTCTAGAAGGGCCCGTGCCCCTCCTCAATTTTCAAAAATTAAATTTTAACCTGAAGTTTTGAAAACGTTTTTTGATTTTCTCCTACAAAAATTACGTGTCCCTACTTTTTCTTTTTTAATTATTTTTTATTGCCATGCTTTCATAAACATGACAAACCATTAACTAGAATATGGACATAGACTGACTCATTAATTGCTTCACAAATAAATCTAAGAAAACATTTTCTTTTTATTATTTGTACTTTAGTGACATTTTTCATCTTTTATTTTTATTTCTTATTGCTTGAGAGTTGTATAGATTTGAATGGCACAACGAAAATTTTTTTTTTTTTTTGGTAGTGATATATATGATATTGGAATAATTTTGAAATATTGATAATTAACCACAAAACCAAATCAAACCAAACAAAACTGTGTACCTAATTGAACCTACTCAATAATTTGTTTTAGGGTTAATTACATTTGACTCCCTTGTAATTTTACTCAAAAACACATTGCTCCCTTCCGTTTTAGAAATACACACACAACCATCTTGTGGTACGGGGTGAAGTGTAAAACTAACAGAAAATGTTATAGATAACAGCACGTGTTGCTTGAAATTGGGTGACAATTTGAAGGACATGGTTTGAAACCAAAATTACAAAATTGCCCCTAATTTGTTTTCCATCTTCCTACCTCACATTTCCTTATTCCTTTTTGAATCTGTGCATTGTCCATCACCATCGAGAGTCCAACACAGCACCGCCGTTGCTCTAACACCAGCGACATGCACAACCCATAGCCACCTCCATTCTCATGGGAGCACCACCACCATCACTCCCTCACTCTGTACACAACACATACACATACTCGCACGCATGCACACGCGCACACACACATATATATGTATATATTAGTTATTTAATTTTTATAATTGTGGTAATGCTCACCAATTTTCAACCAACCAATCAATCAAAAAGAGAAAAATGGTTGAAACCTGAAAGCATGTTCCAATAAAAGTATTTCATTCAAGACTTCAAAATGCAAATAACAAAATAACTATACTACATTAATAAAAGAATATATGTACTTCAAGAATGACATATGTTTTGTTCTTAAACCTACATTGATTGTTCTACTTTCACCATCGTTGTCTTTTTTCTTTTTGAACAGTTCCTAAATTATGTGTTCCAAGTTTATTTTCTAGAAATCCAAACTTCTAGAAATCCACCTTGGGGTGACCTTTGCTTGCCTTGACCTTGCGGTGGCTTTAAACTTCCTTAGCCTTGCCTTTTGGCCTTGTCCTTGGGGTGGTCTTAGATTTCCTTGCCCTTGGGGTGGCCTTAGCTTGCCTTGGCATTGGCTTGTCTTGGCCTTGGATTTCCTTGGGCTTGGATGTGTTGGCCTTGGCTTGCCTTTTCATTGTCTGGTCTTGGTGTGCTAAAATTTGTTCATTTGCTTTTGTTGATGGTAGAGCACTTATGGGTGTATTTATTTCTTTCTTTGTTTTTGATGGATGGTAGAAAACTAGCAAGTGTGTTTATTTTGATGTTCTATCACGAGTTTCTCATATTACTAATTTTCACATAAAACTTTCTTTTGCAGGAAAATATTACTATTCGACCAATGCTTCAAATGTTATTGAGCTACAATGAAGGATGTTTTATTAGCTTTGAAGAACTCTTGATTTCAGATGAGTTTTTTTGTTTTTTTTAATTTAAATTTTTTACTAAATGTATAATTTATTACACGTCTTCAACTTTTTAATAAATAATGCTGAATTTTAATTTCCATTGCCCTTCGTTTTGCTTGCATTAACTTATGTTCAATATTTCAGTTACTTTACACATTAACATTTTATTATGTGAATGTGATGGAATTTAGTGAACTACTTAAAAGGATCATATATAAAAATTTAAAAGATGGGAGTGATAGGTATTGGTATCATTGTGAGAGATTTCATGAGAAATGGCATCAAGCAATGAGAGAATTGCAAATGAATCTGTTGTGGACAACATTAAAGTAGTTGGGGCGTACAAAGTTGTGTCTTTTGCCAATGACTTGAATTTGTTGCATACAGGCCAAGGGATATTTACTTTTAACCAAACAAATTTGTTTTAATGAAGAAAATTTATCATTTATTGGAAAGCATACAGGTTGAGGTATTTACTTTTAATCACACAAATTTGTTTTAATGAAGAAAATTTCTAAATCTATTGGGAATCATACAAGGTGAGAGTAGTTACTTTTAACCATATAAATTAGTTGTAATGAAGAAAATTTCTCATCTATTGTTGATCTGATATTAAAGATTGGATGGGAGTTTTAAATTTGCTTGTATTCATGACAAAATGCTAGGAAATGAAACTGCCCATGTATACTTTGGATGGAAGAGGTTCCAATTGAGGTTGTTTCTTGTGTCCGTTCTCATTTTGTTTGTACTTTATAAATAAAATCATCTTTCTACATTTTTAATTCTTTTAAGCGTTGTTTTTAAATCGTTACGTTAGTAGGAGACTTCTATTATTCCATACATTTTCATGCGTAGAATTTATTAGTAAAATTCCTACCTTATTTACATCTCTAAAATTTCTAACATATTCGCATTTCATAGAAACCCAATAAATATGTTTTCCACTACAGAATTGCCTTTGGGTGTCCACAAAGAACAAACGAGGGTCATTTAATTAATAAAATTACAACTTTTTCCTTTCCCCAAGCAAGGCCAAAAGTTTCCACTGAAGCATAGCCATAATAATAATAGTTAAATAAGGAAAAAAAAACAAAACAAAACAAAACAAAACTAAGAGAGATGGTTGTCTTGCAATATTAAAATTACAACTTTTTCCTTTCCCCAAGCAAGGCCAAAAGTTTCATAATAGTAATAGTTAAACAAGGAGGGGGAAAAAAAAAAGAAAAAAAAGAGAGCCAGGAGAGATGGTTGTCTTGCAAATTGCAATATATGAACTTCAAATCACTCATGCCAGTTCCAATAATCCTTTAGGCTTCGTCAAAATCCTTTAAAAACCTATATTCCAACCAAAAGAAATATGTCAATGTGAAATGTAATTCAAAAAAAACTGAAGCTGATTACCAAGAAAGTATAAACCTTAGTTGCACGAAGCGGGAGCGGGAGCGGGAGCGGGGGAACGTGACCACTTAGATGAGTCGTAAATTAGGAGCGCTTATATATTATTTTTATTAATTATATTTTTAATTCATTTCAAACCTCCAAAATCTGAAAATTTTCCAATTGAAAACAAAAATACAATATCCATGTCTACAAAGATTGACTAATAAAATAACCATGTGTGCTGTAACAGTAGCTAAGATGCTAGTTTTCATTGATTTTTTCCAGCTATCATGGAGAAGAAAAAAAGCTAGTATGAAGATGGCATCCGAACATGATAGAAAATAAAGAAATATAAATGCAGTAGACACACGCAGGCATAGCAATAACTCTCAAGTCCTAACATTATCTGCAGTATTTCAATTTTGAAGTAATAAATTACACGTGGTCCGAAAACTTTTTAAAAAAAATGCGCCTAACATTAATATCTACTCCAAAGACAACAACCCTCCTCCACAATACAAAAACAAATCATTCTAGAGAGTTGAGTAGTCTGAGTTTTCCAGCTAATTCATAAAATACAAAAACAACAAATCTTATCAAGCAAAGGATACCAATTAATGTAATTCACTAATGACATACCAACAACATACCAAAGGGCACCGACTAATGTACTCCAAAAAAAATTCTTATCTCTTAACTATCACCAACAACATACCAATGGCATGGAAATTCAGTAAAACCAAAGGACACCAACTAATGTACTCCAAAAAAATTGCAGTGCAACAAACAATAAAAAACCAAAATATCTAAATATAAACAATTATTATGAAACCAACTCTACTTTGACAACTGGTAGTTTGTGATTGTTTCTCTCTCTTTGTATGGTTCTCACAACAACAACAAACCAAACTTATCTCGCTAATGAAAAAAACAAAAGAACCACCAAAAATGCATGAATACCTTATTTTGATATCATCGAAGTATATAATTCTACCATTTGAATATATTGTTGGTGAACTATTTTATTTTTCTCATTTGATGTTATGATGAAGTTCCAGAGCATGTGAAAGTGCTGGAAGAGATTTCCCTTTCCACGACAGGTAAACTTAATAATTTCTTTAATTATATATATTTTAAAAGGGTCTGCGGGTTTATTCTAAGCTTACCTCAGTGCCTCCCAGGTAGCGAATGTGTAGTGTTTATCTTTTTTATTTCAACCTGAAATAGGAAAGAGTTGGGCAATGGAGAGAGATCAACAGATTGATTTCCACTAAGAGCAACCGAATCTTAACCAAAAGTAGTGATCTAAAATATGTTATACATAAAGAAAACAGACTGGAAAGCAAAGTATGCAAATCAACTTTGAAAACAACTACGTGTGCAATTCCAGTCTCTTTTTGGTTGTTCACTATTTTGCAAAACATTAAAGTGGACTGGAACTGCAATTCTACTACCAAAATCTAATTACTCACCAATATCACTATAAAAGTACTACCATGCACCATTCCAATATGCATTGTCACTCCATTCAAACAAAATCTTTCAACCTATATTCATTACAATACATAGTGCCCCTCACCAAATCCCAATTCCCCTCATCTTGAACACTGTTAAATAATTATAAAAGTGGACGTAGATCTAAAATATGTTATACATAAAGAAAACAGACCGAAAAGCAAAGTATGCAAATCAACTTTGAAAACAACTAGGTGTGCAATTCCAGTCTCTTTTTGGTTGTTCACTATTTTGCAAAACATTAAAGTGGACTGGAACTGCAATTCTACTGGAACTGCAATTCTACTACCAAAATCTAATTGCTCACCAATATCACTATAAAAGTACTATCATGCACCATTACAATATGTACTGTCACTCCATTCAAACAAAATTAAAAACTTTCAACCTATATTCATTACAATACATAGTGCCCCTCACTAAATCCCCATTCCCCTCATCTTGAACAGTGTTAAATAGTTATAAAAGTGGACCTATAAGTCACCATGTATAATGAAAACAAGAAGGAAGTTTTAAATTGTTCCTCAATTTCAAAGTCATTTAACTGAAAAAATTCAAATCCTAACCATTAACATAAAGAAACCATTAATTTGAAAACATCTTTTAAATAAAAAAACCCAATTAACTGATGAATTTACCTTTTATAACTATGAATTTTATAAAGTAAAAATAAAACAAGATTTCAATCTTTCTCTCTATAACCATAATTTTTCCAGTTAAAACAAACAAAAAGACAATTTTATAAAAAGAAAACAAAGTAGCTATCTTTCAGCAAACCAACAATAGCTAAAGATACAATATTAAATAATAAATAACCTATCTTCATAATTGTGCCTAATTGGTGATCGTACGAGATTGTGACACATACAATTTCAAGGAGAAGGTTATCTTAAAAATAAAAAATAAGAAAAAAAATTCAACCCCCCATTAAGCTAAGCCAAAACATCGTCAACTTTGGAACAGAACAGTTATCGAGACGTTCAAATGTGACTTTAATCAGTAGTAATAGTTTAATTAAATCAAAGATCACAATCCAATTAAACATAGCTCGAGAAACCACCAGGAGCATAAATGGCTGAAATACCAATGTCCCATATTTGAACAAAACAAAAAGACCAAACCAAATTTACAACTCAAAAGGCTTTTCTTTTTGTGTTGTTCCATCCCTCATGAAAAAATTCTAAGTAGTCTTACCAATGGGGTTAGAGAATACTTCCACTTCAACTTGAAAAACACATGCAGAAGCCTTTAGATCCCTTTCACTCTTGTAAACACCATTAAATAAACACAAAATTCTATGGATTCAAAACCAAAGGTGTCATTAACAAAATTCTCTAGCTGAATTTTCCAAGTGATGGCGATGGGCTGTTAGCTGCGAACATCTCAAATAAATTAATTACTAAGTACAATGGCTTCAACTAGATAAATATCCCAAATACTTACAAAAGTTCATTGATGAGATTCATATACATTTCGAATATTTAGATTTAAGATTTCAAACAATAAGCCCCTAATTACAATGTTCATCAATAGATCAATTGCATTCTCAACAATACAGAAGGGACAATATCCAAACTATACATTTCAATAGATCAATGTCCACAAAATTCAATATTTTTGCTAATAATCAATTTGAATGATTCTTCAAACATAATATTTTCCTAGCAAACATAATTAATGACAAAGGAACTTGAACATAATAATGAACACCGATTACATCCATTAATTATTTCAAATAATATAGCCTTGTTAATCTTCTCTAATTGTTTAAGTAGTCCTTCATTCAGTTAGTTGAGCTAAATTTGAACTCTTCCATAGTTATCCACACAAATATTCACAAAAGGCAATGAAGTTGCCACCACACATAAACAATGAAAATTTTCCTTTGTAGAACCATAATGATATTAATGATAACAATAACAAAATTTCAATAGCAGTTATAACATATCATCTAACACATCCAAGTAGTGGACCTACCAAGTCTAGAGCAACTGGAGCAACATAAATTCAACCATAATACATTTAATAACACAAACAATCAAGGCTCAAATGGTCTTCAAAATCACATGATCTCATAAATTACACCTAAACCAAAAAAAAATCAAGTCTTTCTTCAAAGGAAATGAGACTGCATGAAGTTGGGTTTTCGATCTTTTTACTTAATCATACAAAAAATTCATGTCCTCTGCTTGAAAACCCTAAATTTGAAAATTTCCTCTCAGCACAAACAGATCGCAGATAATAACAGTAAAAGTACGGGCTTTCGGCGACTATGAACTACGTACATACTAGTTTGTAATCAAGCTCGGATATATCTAGGGTTTCGTCGTCGAAGCAGGGGGTTGGGCGTTATCGAATAGGTTGTTTAAGTTGGAGATGACGGTGGAGACGAAGGCGGTTGAGTCGATGGTAGGAAGTGTAGGATCCCTTGGACTTACTTGGAGGTGGTGATGGTAAGCGACGACGACCGGAGAGAGAGAGAGAGAGCGTAATTTCTCAAAATGTTTAGGGCTGAAGAAAAGGTCTAGGGATTTGTCCAAAAAAATTAGAGAAATTCTATTTCCACCCACCAAATTATCTCTGCGTGCATCTTTTTTCAATCCACACATTTAGTAATTTGATTTTTACTTCTTTATCTCAACCCACACACTTCACATTCTAAATATATCCTCACATTCTCTGTGCACATTCTCTCCTTTAGTTGTTTCTTCCTGCAGTATGTACATTTTTGCTTGCACCCTGATGATTCATGCTGTGTTGCTGCTGGGAATGGTTTGATTGGGTGGATGCTTTATAACCTATTGAGGATGGTGGAGCAGTTTCTATTGCGAAAAATGGTTCGTGACAATTGGGACAGAGAAGATTATGATTGATATACATTCTGAGATACTCATATTGCATTTTACATCCATGGCACACAGTCCAGAAGGTTCGGGGTTTCTGCTTATGAGATGGAGGAGGACCATGAGACGCCTTAGTTATATTACCCTTTGGAACCCTCACATGCTGAGTTGTACTTTTTGTGAAATTATCGAACCCATTTTGTTAATCAATTCGCACATATAGCAA